CGCTGTCGTCACAGGGGCCAGTTTCTTTTGTCCATTAGGGGAGCTTAGTGTATGCTGAGTGGTTCCTTGAATGGGGTGTTTGGATGTATTCAGATTCAGCGCTGCTACGCCTTTTGATTTACTAGGAGCTGCTTTTAAATCCAGGCTTGTCCCGCTGCTCATACCGGAGACGGGAAGTTTACTCTCGGTGACATTTCTGCTTTGGCTGGACTTGTTCAGCGGAAGAGAGGAAGGCTGGATCGACGGCCTGCCAGATCCCACGGAGCTCAAGGAGTTTTTAACAGCACCGACCTGGGCGAGGGAGCTTCTGTTCGGACCACCCACCGTATCCCTGGCCGAGCCCCGGTGGAAACCCATGAAGGTAAAGCTGGCCGGGTGAACCGGCTTCTTGATTGCTCCTGGAATATCCGTATCTTTGGCAGTCTTGCGCGGGCCCTTGTTCTGCTGGAACTCCTTCACTTCGGAGGGCAGAGGTTTCCTACTCCGTTTCTTGGGAGGCTCCTGTTTCGCCATGACTATCTGCGCCTTCTTCTGAGGGACAGGATTCAGCTCTCTAGTTCTCACGCTTGGGCTGACTTGTTTAACTTGGCTGCCGTCGTCATCGTCGTCATCATCCGAGGACGACGAGGAAGAGGAGCACGAAGACGAGGAATCGGACGAGGATGACGACGAGCCAGACGAGGAGCTGCTCGACTTTGGAGCTTCAGGCATATTTTCCTATGTTTTTAATAAGAAGGGAATGTTAGATACTCTGTTTGGGACTAAATCCTGCAAAAAAATCATCTTTTGAATCAAACTTACAAGGATTTTCCGAGGCCGTCCTCTGGGCCTCTTCCCTCTTTTACGCAGCAGAAGCTCCTTTTCCTGCTCTCTGTAATACGTCAGCAAACATGAAACAAGGAGTCATAATTATTAAACATATTTCATATTAATGTTGTGTGTTTTAAATGCCAACAGGGTTACGACTGCAACAACTACAGCATCGCGTAGCACAGCAAACTTTAAAGTGCGGCACATCTTAACGTAGACACTTACTTCTTGTTGAATGCAGCCAGCAGTCTCGGGTCGAGGATATTTTCTTGGGGCTCCCAGCTGTTGTGTCTGAAGTGAGCAGACATGGCGAAACATTAACACACATTTTAGTGTTAATCCAAATCAAAAACTAAAGGTACTCCACAGTTTGAGGAGTGCTTCCAGATTTAGAAAATGACTTTTCAACAGAGTCCATTCATTGAGCAACACAGGGCTCTGTTGTTCTAGCAGCCATAAACTGAGCACAGGCAGTCCCTCACTTTATTTAAAGACGTCTCAGGTGAGCTCGAAAAAGGACGAGAACAGAAATCTAATTAAAACAACACTACAGCTAGTGACAGCTTGGCTTTATAGAGACAAACAGACCCGTGTAACCACAAAGTCATAAAACACTAATTAGTAAACAATATCTTAATATGTAGAGTGAAGACCCGTCTGTCCCTGCACTCGTGGTTTGAGAATGATTTAAACAGCTACAAAAACGGTTTATTAAACAGTAATAAGGACTGAGTGGATGACAGATATGTAATCCATAAGGGTAAAAGTTAAAAATCTGATTGATTCTATACATCACACCATACGTGAGGCATCAATCAAACTGCTGACTTTAGGTACTACACCGAATCAGTTTTTTACACTTCCTTTGTTTCCTCAACAAGCACAGTTGTGTTTGTTGAGGAAGGAAGTAAGCGCATTATTTTGGGTCACGGAGGTTACCAACATGAGTGGGACGTTGTAAAAATACAGAATGAAGATTTTCTTTTTCTTTTTTTCCATCAACACAAATAACTTTGTTTTGCAGAGCTTTGTTGGTGGTGCCTGCACACGATGTCAAAGGCTGGCTGTTGCACTGCCGAGTTATTGAATTTGCTTCTTGTTTGTTTTTCAATCTTATATCTGAAACTTAAGTTTGAGCGTCCGTTAGCTTGATTCCTGAGTGTGGCTGCATCAGTGGCCCCATTCAGTGACTAATAATTTGATAGTGAGCATAAATTGAGGAGAAAATAACTAAATGGGCTAAGTGCAGAAACAAACTGAAAACAGGCCTTTTCAATGACCACTCGCTTTATCAGGAGCTGGTGAATGGCCCATTCTGATCTGCAGTCACCAGTGAAATAATCAACCCCCACCCTTTCGTTGCACACACACACACACACACACACACACACACACACACACACACACACACACACACACAAAGGATGTGGTTCTAACAGAAAGCCATGGAGCTGGCAGGCAACAGTGTGCATTGATGGTGGATTACAGCAACAATGTGAAGTGAACAGAGGGCAAGTGACAAGAAATGAAGGCGTAGTGGAGATTTACAGGCACAAACATGCACGTATAACACACACTTCGAGTGGAACAGCACAGTGAAATACTTATATATATATACATTTAAATAAATATCAAGTAACCATCGTGAATTTCGGATGTCCCAGTCCGAGTCAAAGACAAAAAAAAGATAAAACTTAAAAACGATGAATAAAATCAGCCAAACGTCATAACTAAAATGAATAAGTTGATGTATGAAAAGCTGAATTAGCCCTAAAGTGTTTTCTTTGGCTATCCGATAACTTCCAAAACGTAAATATCGAACAAAAGGAAGCAAATGTGTATTGTGTAAAACCCTCAGGTGGAAATAACGGAGTTTCATTTTACTGCTGTTAAAATTTGGATTCTTGTGCTTTTATTTATTTTTTTAAAAATAAAAAATAAAAGTTTGGGTTTAGCTAAAAGCAACAAGCGACACGCTGTTGTTGTTTTCATTGTTTCGGCCGGAGCAGCACCACTTGTACTTACTTGGATGACCATCCCCTCCACTTGACGAGAAACTCCAACTTTCCCTGAAAGAAAACCCCCAAAAGAGAAACAGACCGTTTGTAAAATAGGAGAAAAATACGTGGATAAAATCTAACACAGCGGTTTCACAGCGCTGACCTTTCTCATTCGTTTGTTTAAGATGCATTCCGCATCAAAAACCTGCTCTCCCACGGCGCTCAGTTCCTCCATGTCTGCCTTCGCCCTTGCATAAGAATCCTTTATCAAAAGAACAGCGCGGCGCCCGCACGGCGGAATTACGCTGGGACCAAACCGGATGCTCAAGGGCCCGCCTTCAAAATAAAAGAACGCCCGAGTGCCAAAATTCAGCCAGAGGGCTAATTTTAATTTGTTATCCCGCAAGAAATTTTTTAAAGCATCTAGGCTTATATAACGACACAAACTGCGCTTAACATGAATGCAAAAATATCAAGAAAAAAACAATTAAAAACTTATACAGTCAGAATATATAATATTTGATGTCAGGTCTCTCTTGGAAATGAGATTTTTTTTTTTACCTGGATAAATAAAGGGCTAATAAAAAATAAAATGCACACAAAAATTGATTTCATAATAGAATAGTTTATTCCGTTAATTTTATGCACAAGATTTATTTTAACATGCTTTACGCAAAAAAACAAACTCAAGCAAGTAAACCAGTTAAATAACCAGTTCACGTAGTACAAGTTTAAAGGGCAGCATGTTGATTAAAGTGTTGTATTTAAATAAGTTCCATACAAGTCTTAAATGTTATGCTAAAAAGAAAAAAATGAGGACTCAGCTAATGAGAACTAAACGGTTCTGGCGTACAAGTCAAAATATATATTTGAACTTTTGATATATAGACAATATAAAAAACCCGGAGGGTTTACATTTATGTTGAAAGTTACAACCGGAAGTGTTGAGCACCCGTGTTTAACTTGACATTTTTATCCGAGGAGAGGCGGCAACTGATGAGTATGTAGTTCCTCAAAATATGTCACTTGGCAGCCACCGTAGACGTGTATTCACTTCTTTAAATGAAAGTAGAGACGCGATGGCCTTAATATGATGATCGCTACTTTGTTCTCAGCACCTTTTATCTTAATTTAATTGCTCACAGCCTCACCCCAACACCTCGTTTTGCTTTATGGCTTTTATGTTTATTTAGTACATAAAAGTAATATAACGTTACGGTAATGGTCTCAGATGTTTATATTCCAGTGTCCCAACACAGCACTGCTTATGGATGTTTATTCCCATTTAATTACAGCAGATTTGAAAAAGACCTAAATGTTCTTCATTCATGCATAAACCAGGGCATCTCCAGTTAAACTTGTTCTGATCCTTCTCTTGTCACTTTGTATTATTTGAAAATAGCTTAAATAATAATTTACACTCTGCTCTTTGGGTTCTAATGCAATTTGCCATGAAAGAGAATCATGCAGAGGGTCCGTCCACAGGGAGCTGCTTTTAAATCTCTCTTCATTATTGTGATGTTCAAAATGGAGTTTGATGTGCGTCTTCGTTTTCCGGAAGATCTCTCAAACTTCCTGATCTGAAACACAAAGTAAAGAAATTTTACTTGGCTCCGACAGTCTCGGTCGTTCTGTCGTTGGGCAAGACACTTCACCCGTTGCTTACTGGTGGTGGTCAGAGGGCCCGGTGGCGCCAGTGTCCGGCAGCCTCGCCTCTGTCAGTGCGCCCCAGGGCGGCTGTGGCTACAATATAGCTGCCATCACCAGTGTGTGAATGTGTGTGTGAATGGGTGGATGACTGGATGTAAAGCGCTTTGGGGTCCTTAGGGACTAGTAAGGCGCTAAACAAATACAGGCCATTTACCATATAGATTTTTATTTGTCTTGGATGTATAACAGTTTTGAATGAATAAGTCATTACCTCTTTGTCTTGCGTTTCTGCTTGAGTAGTCGTTGGACCACTGCTGCTGCAAACACTATGACAAGAAATCCAGCTACCGCAGCCAGTCCAGTGAAGGCGTTTTTCATGTACTTCCTGTGTGAACTACTTTCAGCTGAAAGAAGAAAGAAAAACAAAAAATTCACACATTGAAGATTAAATTTTTTATGAAGCCTTTTGCTTTAATATTTCTGTACTGACATAAAAAATGTTAGTGTTATTTAATTGTATCAATTTTTATTTGCTTTCAGAGCTCAAAGACGACCCGGTCATGGAGCTTGGAAAAGAAAGCGCCTGGACTTCTTTAAGTTTCTTCTTCGGTCATAAGACCATATGCTGAAGAGACCCAGGTATTTAAGCCCTAGTGGGAGCTGTCTCTTATGGAGGGTCATTGACCCACTATTGATTATGTGCCTCATCACATGGTGTGAAAAACGGTGTGGGCCAATATCCTTAGATTTGTTCTATAACAGTTTGAGCAACAGAAGTACTTGGGTAGAATTAAGAAAGGATCATTGTTTGGGGTAAATTGACAGTATACTGTTATGTTAACCACATATTATAACTTTCGTATTTGTGTTTATATCTGCATGTCTTGCTAGCGTGATTTGTCTGACTGTGTCTTGTTTTCGTGCTAGTTCAGTGATGACTTTGTGCTTTACAAATGTGAGAGTTAAATATGGCTCTGTTATATATTTCATAAAAGCCAGCAGGCAAAGGTGTCTAAGAAGAGATCGGTGCATATTAATGGCTGTCCAGCATAACAGTTATCTGTGTGGTGACCAGTCTAGGGGTGTGGCTAAAGGGGGAGGGGACTGCAGTGGTAAGGACTGAAGAAAGTGTTTGTCAGGGAACAACAGTGTTGTCCTGCTCAATCCATTATTGTAAATATAAAGTTACATATACAAGTTGTTGAAATGTAGGCCAAGTTTTAACAGGTCTGAGGTTTATTTTTATAAAAATGTCTGAGTTTTCATAGACAGTCTGACAAGTTTTGGGTCGGCCCAAGTGGTGGGAAAAATCCTATTATGTCAAACAAGTAATATTGTTATTTATTTTTAATATTAACCTAATTTTTAATAGAAAGAACAATAATAAAAATTGAATAAAAGAAATGGCACAGAGTGCATCCTGACCTGATGACTTCATTATTACATCACACGTCAAAGTAAGCGAGCCAATCAGCTTTTAGTGTTTGCGACCACTGAAAAAAATATGTGATCATATCGATAACATTTAGTATCTTACCTTAGTTTGATGATACCAGATAGTAGACACACCAACATGTGAATAATTGAAGAATTATTATTATTATTTAGATCAGAGGTGGGTTGTACTAACTAAATAATATCTGGTTTTGATATAAGCATTTCTTCGCCTTGTTACATCAGCGAGATGATACATGTTTGAGATTCACTTTGACTTAACACATCAATGAGTCATCAGTGAGTTGTTCTGGCTGACATATTCATTTATTACTATGTAGTGTATGCTGACTCACTCCCACATTTACCATTTTTCCAGTCAGATGCTCAATAAAACACCAAATGTGTATTAAATCAACAAATTAACCAGTTAATTCTTTTCTTCTGTTTTGAGAGCCAAATCAAAGGATACATTTGTAACCTGTATTAATGTTTTAGTATTTATCAGTAACCATTGGGTCTTGGGCTGAAGATATCAAATGACTGAAAAGCACAAAAGCAGTAGTAAGGTGCCCATTTCTGCTGTTTTTATGAAGATTAGATGATTTTTGTGAACTTTTCTACTTTTCTTTACTTTCATATATGAGCTCTTTAGACTTCATTGGAGGAAAAAAATGTTTCCAACCTCGCCTCGAGAACACCAGATGTAATTTGTAGTTGTAACCTATAGCAACCCTACATCTGATTTGGACACAACTAAAGTCAGAAATGATGGATGATTGGCCCAGTAATGAAGGAGCAGGTGTTGGAGCGACACACTTTCAGTGCCACGGGGAGAGACTCATTAGTCTGATATAAACTCACCTCGAGCAGCAGTGCTAGTAACCAGCATGTGTTTGGTAGCGTCGAGATGGCCGTCATTGACCTCCGGCTCGATGCCCAGGATGTGACACATCAAGGGGTAGATGTTCACTGTCTCAAAGGGCCCCACCTTTAGGTTTTTGTGAAACGCTGGACCCACTGCCCTGAAGAAAGGTTTCATGTCCATCGCTTGGTTGTCATAGCCATGCTCTCCCTTGTTGAATTGAACTGGGAAATACTGCAAGGACAGGATGGATAACATAACTCTCTTGACCCAGTTTGATAGATTCAATTAGAATCTAACTTTCAAAAGGTAGTCAAATAAAATAAAACCTCAACAGACGTCCACATCTTGGTCTACTCTCAGTCAGTCAGCAGAGGGAGGTATTGACCAAGCCAAAGCGGATTGTCTACATTGTGCAATGAAAGCCCTTTCACCCTTTGTGACTGCTGCCAGCCAGTGATAATGCCTAAATGAGACTGTTAATCCAACTCGAAAATGTTCATTTTCATGAAATACTTTAAAGATTTAAAATGGTTTCATAATTAAATGTTATATATAGTAGTTTTCCAACACATTTCCAGAATTCAGAATACACAGTTGTCTCTGTGTTATGTAACCATCTCGACATTTTTTTCCTTCTCTTAGATCAAACTAAAATGAGTATATAAAAAAAATGGAGGGAACGAAGAGCCAAATTTCCAGTCCCAACATACAGACCTGGGATTTAACACATTTTGTCACTGGATTAAAAGAAAAAAATCTATTTTCCTCTTTTTCAGGGTTTTTAGGACATTCCAGAATTTTAAAATTTCCTCTTTTAAATTAAGTTGTGATTTAATGGTTCTCAGTACTGATGGACACATTTGCTTGCAAAGTTGCTGCACAGCAGAGTGACTGAGTAAGTGTAGAGCCAAATGAAAATGCTAATTTTGAATTTTGAGGCATGAATAGCTTCATGAAGCATTTGAGAGCGTACTGCATGTCATCAGCAAGGCCTGGATTATCCTGAGGACGTGCAAATGCACTTGATTAAAATTGTAATGTACTAAGATTAGAATTTAACTCCTTGCGTCTGGCTGAAAAGAGCCCAGTTTAAGTATTTTCAATGAGCAGAATTTAAGTAATTTAATTATTTCTGTAGTCAAGAAATGAGGAAATTTGTAGAAAAAAGCCCAGATGGCATGTACCAGATAATTAATCTGGCTCTTTATCGCTATAGAAGTGCTTGTCATTTAGAATCCTTATGACCACCTACGTAGGTCATAATCACATAAATTGCCTGGTTGTTAATAAGTTACAACAAGAAGTGCGAATGTTTGCCGAAGCTGCACTTTGCAGTTTATTATGTTGCATGAGAACAAATGTCAGCTCTCTATGTTGAGGGTGAATGAACGGAAGAAGAACTGGTAAGACTTTATCGATTCAGATTCCGTTATCGATATCATTTATCGATTTTAATTGCGTCTCATTAACTTTGCTTTGATAGCGTAGCAGTTATAGCAAAGACATTTTGTGCAAATTAATTTTGTGCTGTTGGAGAAACTTCCCCCTTTTTGTTGTGACCGCTGTATGGGTCATTACTCAAAAGTAATTATTACATATATACATTTTTCTTAAAAGTAAGGACGTTACTTAAGTCCTCCAAGGAGACAGTAATTCATTATCCTACTCGTTAGATTACTTTCACGTTACTCTGTAAAATAGCTGAAACACACGTTCATAATCACATTTCATAATTTAAACCTACAGGCTGCTGTAAAACTATAAAACTAGCTAGAATTGCTACCACACTTTTTGTGGTTGTAAACTTTCTGGAGTCACTGGAATCCTATGAAATGACCATATTGTTGCAGCTTTCTAAAGGCCATTGCTTCTCATGCTTAGATAAATAAGTAGGAGTTTATTCGTTCTAGTTTGGTTGTGTTTGCTTTTATTAATATGCATGCTTACTGTTGTAAAGCAGCATGCTGTAACGCCAACCTTGATGATTTCTTGACTCTGAGCAAGTGGTTTTAACGTCTTGACATCCCCGAGGTCACCAGCGACCTATCTAGGGTTAGGGTTCAGTTTTGCTTTAGCCCCATGTTAAACAAATTATTTCTCATATATTTAGGCATTGCATTTTTTTCTGTTTGGTGACCGAAACATGCAGTAATTCTGTACAAAGGGTTAATGTTAACCAAACTGCTCATTTTAACCTCAGCTCTGATCCTCATACCTTTGACTCGGGGGATGTTCACAGTCTCTGAAGCTAACCATCAAAGTGCAAAAGACTAAGGTCTAAACACAATCAAAACTATCATCTCCTGGCTGATAAACCTATACCTTTACCCTCCACTTCTCCAACTTGTGGACTTTCGAGCTTGTTATCTCTCTGAGGGAAATATTGCTGCGTACAGTTGTACCACACAGCAGCTGCTGACAAAAATGGCACTATGTGATGCCCTGGCATGAGTAAACGTTAGATTTGGCACGTATGATTGCTGCTGAAGATCTTGTCTGACAGCTTGTCAGGTGAGAGTGTGAAAAACACAATTGAGCATCCGTCAACGTACCCCGTTGATTACGTATCCAGGGTCGGCCCATAAAATGATGGGGAGGATGCGATCGTTTTTAGTAAAGCGAAGGTGCTCTGGCACGTCCTCCTTCTTGTACACGTGGAGATGTGGATGAGCCCCTTTTAAGGCATTGTACACCGCCTCCAGCCTGCCTGGCTTGGGCAACAGCATCCCGGAAGGTCCGTAGTCCACCAAGTGGAAGGACAGGTCCCCGAATGAAAAGCCTGGGATCTTTGACAGGGTGATTTCCTCCACCAGACCATTACGATACACGGTGGACATGCCGTGGTCTGACGTGATGATGATGTTAAGGCGGTGAGTCAGCCCGTGTCGCTCAGCTGATTGCCGAATATAGCCCACTGTTCGGTCCACTTGTTTCACCATCTCTCTACGTTCATTCGAGTCCGGACCGTATCTGTGGCCTGTACCGTCAGGCTCGCCAAAGTAGAAGGAAACAAAGTCCACGTTCTTGTCTCTGAACCAGCTCATCACTTTATCTGTGTTTTCTCGCCAAGCGGTCTCGTTCTTGTAGTTGTAAAGCTGCGGCTCCACTTCCTTGTGCATAACAACCTGTCCCTGGTAACTGGAAGCTGTGCCAGGAAAGTGAAGAGAGCCAGCGTTTAGGCCCTGGAAGGTTAGAAAAAAACAAGGCCGCATTAACATAAACATGACATATGCACTTGACACGCTGACAAGTATGTGAAAGCTACATCTGTTCATACTGTGGGTCAACACGCTAGGAAAGCACATCAGTAATACCCGGATTTTGATTAATTTTCTTAAACCTACAGCTTAACCTTTGAAGCAAACTTAGAGCAGCTGTCATTTGCATGCCGTTAACATCTACGCCTGCAGAATTATTTGCAGTCTAACTGCGGTGATCTTCCTGAAATCATTCAGCGAGCCTTCAGAGGTGTTTTGTCAAGAGAAATGGTTTCTATTTCTGTAAACAGCAAAACAGTCTCTCACAGTGATGAGATGGAAATTGTGCTGCGCAGACCTGTCTCTGTGCTGTGATCCAGATAGGCAGAGTGCCATTGTCCCACCACTGATTCACAAACTGACTCTGATAGTAAGACTTCTTCTCTCCGGTGGTTGTGTTGAAAAACATGTTGTGGATTACCCCGTGATTCTCGATGTAGCGGCCTGCAGAAGAGAATCGCTGTCAGTCGGCTTGCTCTGATTATTCATAGCGTGACACATTCACATTAAAAATTCTATCAACTTAACGGGCTGAGTGGCATGACGCTTTTGGACAAGGTCTTACGACCAACTTCGGAGATTAGAGGAATTTAATTTCAAGGAAGTTAAATTTCTTTTAGCAGGCGCTGATGATTCGAGAGTCAGAATACAAAATTTTAAAAAAAGGAGCAGAGAATTCTTCCCTCAGTCATCCAAGCATAATCATCTTACTCAGCTATAAAAGCCGTTGGACCCTGGGACATTCAATTACGACTAATTCCTTTTTCCTGTGGCTTTTTCAATACTTGCAAAGTAAACTCAGAGCGGTTACTACTCTGTCAT